CCCAAGTTGCGGAATTATGCGGTACGAGGGTGCCCAAGTTGCGGAAAGTTGCGGCACGAGAGTGCCCAAGTTGCGGAAAGTTGCGGTACGAGGGTGCCCAAGTTGCGGACTTATGCGGAACGGGGGTGCCGAGGTTGCGGAAAGTTGCGGTACGAGGGTGCCTAAGTTGCGGATAGTTGCGGTACGAGAGTGCCCAAGTTGCGGAAAGTTGCGGTACGAGGGTGCCCAAGTTGCGGAAAGTTGCGGTACGGGGGTGCCCAAGTTGCGGAAAGTTGCGGTACGAGGGTGCCCAAGTTGCGGACTTATGCGGAACGGGGGTGCCGAGGTTGCGGAAAGTTGCGGTACGAGGGTGCCCAAGTTGCGGAATTATGCGGTACGAGGGTGCCGAGGTTGCGGACTTATGCGGTACGAGGGTGCCCAAGTTGCGGAAAGTTGCGGTACGGGTGTGCCGAGGTTGCGGAAAGTTGCGGAACGGGGTGGCCGAGGTTGCGGAAAGTTGCGGTACGGGGGTGCCGAGGTTGCGGAAAGTTGCGGTACGGGTGTGCCGAGGTTGCGGAAAGTTGCGGAACGGGGTGGCCGAGGTTGCGGAAAGTTGCGGAACGGGGTGGCCGAGGTTGCGGAAAGTTGCGGAACGGGGTGGCCGAGGTTGCGGAAAGTTGCGGAACGGGGTGGCCGAGGTTGCGGAAAGTTGCGGTACGGGTGTGCCGAGGTTGCGGACTTATGCGGAACGCGGTCGCCCAAGTTGCGGACTTATGCGGAACGAGGGCGCCCAAAGTGCGCACAGTTGCGGACGGATGCGGAAAATCTCACGCAACAGAGGTTTACCCGCCTGCCGCCCCAGTACTTTTACGACGGTTGTGTGTTATGCCTTGGCCTATGTCGTTTTACGTCGTTCTCGTGCCAAAATGGAATATACATTTGTTTTAGAGCTTATTGTACTACTTAATTAGTGAGGCAAACGAAATGCCATATATTCCTCTCACATTCCTAACAATCCCAAGTACTTGGCTAAGTCAGACAAGGAACTTTGCGGACAGCTGGGCATAAATTTGGACATCGTCGTTTTCAATGAAATAATCATCCAAACGCTTTGAAATTTACCAAGCATTGTTAAAATGCTCTAAACTAAAGGACCATGCAATAACATTTGAAAAAAAATGCACAAATCCCAAAAAAATGCACAACCTTCCTTAAGGCTAGTGAACAAATCCCAACTCCGTGAGTCATTTTGTTCAACCCAGCTGGAATTGACGTGGGCCTCAGATTGTGAGGATCTGGCCCAAGAGGTGCCTCAGATTGTGAGGGTGCGGCCCAATAGGTGCCAACATCGACCAAGAGTCAAGCCTCCATGCAGGGGTTAAAATTGCAATTAATGGTGAGAATTGATCCCAGGTCACGTGTGTAAAATTCAAATGATCATCCATCTCCACCAATTTCATCTTTGTAATGATTTTGGTTATAAATTTTATTTTACCGAAATACTTCCTAATGGATATAAATATATACCCGTGTATTAAATAGTAGTTCAGATATTAAATAGTGTGAGTTCCCATGCATCACAAATGAAATGAAAGTTCAGATAATTAATACTTTTGAGTTCCCATGCATCACAAATGAAATGAAAGTTCAGATAATTAATACTTTTGAGTTCCCATGCATCACAAATTTCAATTAAGATACTTAATACTTTTGAGTTCCCATGCATCACAAATTTCAATTAAAATAATTAAGATAATTAATACTTGTGAGTTCCCATGCATCAAAAATTGAATTCAGATAATAAATACTTTTGATTTCCCATACATGTATGGAAACTAACAAGTATTTATTATAGTAAATACTTGTTAGTTTCCATACATCATTGGTTAGTTGGTCGCCGCATCGTCGGTCGGTCACCGTCTAGCGACCGCTGGTGGTCGTCCGTCGCCCCACCCTCGCCGTCGTTAGTCCGTCGCCGGCGAGGTTCTGGCCGAGGGTGGTCGTCCGCCGCCGGCGAGGGTCTCGCCGTCGTTAGTCCGTCACCGGCGAGGGTCTCGCCGTCGTTAGTCCGTCACCGGCGAGGGTCTCGCCGTCGTTAGTCCGTCACCGGCGAAGTTCTCGCCGACGGGGGTCGTCCGCCGCCGGCGCCGACCATCGCCGACGGGGTCGTCCGTCGCCGGCGTGGTTCTGGCCGACGTTCCGTTGCCGGCGAGGTTCTGGCCGACGGGGGTCTTCCGTCGCCGGGGTGGTTCTGGCTAATTCAATATGCTAAACAGCCATTAAAATTACTTATCTACAATGTGTGGTGGGACCAGCTTACATTAATTACATTTATTACATTTATTTATTCACATGCGTCAGAAATCAAAGGTCACAGATAAATATATACTTGTGAGGCCCCATACAAATCACAAATTTTAATTCAAATAAATATATCCTTGTAAGTTCCCATGCATCACAAATTTCAATTAAAATAATAAATACTTCTGATGGTGGTCGCCACCGGCCGGGGTAGTTCGACGGCCGGCCAGCAGTTTTATCGCCGGCGCCGGGATAGTTCGTCGGAGGGAGGACGACGGCCGGCCAGCAGTTTTTCACCGGGGTAGTTCGACGGAGCGGCCGGCGGCAAACTGTCGCCGGCGGGGTAGTTCGACGGACGGTCGGCGACGGCGACTGGCGGCCAGCAGCAGTTTTGTCGCCGGCCGGCAGTTTTGTCCCGGGCATCGACTGCCCAGCCACCGGGAATTTTTTGTGGCGCCGCCGACCGCCGGGAACTTTGTCGGCTACGGGATAGTTCGACAACCACCAATGGCCGGGTTGTTCGACAACGACCAACGGCCGCGTCCTATCCTATGCGAATTTCTCCGGCAGTAAGTCCGGGAAAGAAGTTCGCCGGCACTTTACCATTCCGCCGGGAAGTTCGGCGGCATGCCAAAGGTCTTTGACAAAGAAACACGGCAACAACAAATAACAGAAACAAAAGCATCGACCAAGGCACGGCCAAAGACAAAAACAATAATAATAAATTGGGGCACAAGCCGGCTACCCTCAACAAAACGGAGCAGAACAACTCCAGTAATTAATCGCAGCATATGAATGAGAAAAAGGTAGCATGTAAGATTAAATTACCTGTCAGTAATTAATCGTACGGAAGGGTTACCTGTCGCCACAGCCTCGCCTCGCCGCCACAGCATCGTCGCATCCTCGCCCGCACGGCACAGCCACAGCATCATCGCCGCCACAGCCACAGCTTCATCGCCGCCACAGCCACAGCTTCGCCTCGCCGCCACAGCCTCGTCGCAACCTCGCCCCCAAAAGCCGCAGCTTCGCCTCGCCCATCCTCGCCCCTCAAAGCCACAGCTTCGCCTCGCCCTCGCATCCTCGCCCTCGCATCCTCGCCCTCGCATCCTCACCCCTCAAAGCCACAGCTTCGCCTCGCGTCGCCTAGCCGCATCTTCGCCCCTCAAAGCCACAGCAGCTTCGCCTCGCGTCGCCTAGCCGCATCTTCGCCCCTCAAAGCCACAGCAGCTTCGCCTCGCGTCGCCTAGCCGCATCTTCGCCCCTCAAAGCCACAGCAGCTTCGCCTCGCGTCGCCTAGCCGCATCTTCGCCCCTCAAAGCCACAGCAGCTTTGCCTCGCGTCGCCTAGCCGCATCTTCGCCCCTCAAAGCCACACCAGCTTTGCCTCGCGTCGCCTAGCCGCATCTTCGCCCCTCAAAGCCACAGCAGCTTTGCCTCGCGTCGACTAGCCGCATCTTCGCCCCCAAAGCCACAGCAGCTTCGCCCCGCCCCCTCGTCTCGCCGCATCCTCGCCTCCACGCTAAAAGCGGAAAAAGAAAAAGGAAGAGGAAAGTAATAGTCAATGATGGTTTTAAAGCACCATCCATTTAAATAGAAGAGAACACAATGATGGTTTTAATATATATTAACTGATATGTTAACAAATAAGAAAATACGTTAATGAATTTACTTAACATACATATATTAGGGATAACATGAATGTATAATTATATAACTTTAGGTAGGTAAACTTCAAAATTTTGATTTCATGATTGTATAGCTAACTTGATATTATATTGATTCAAATTTACCTAAAGTTATATAATACACATGGATAGACATAATATATAGTTATCTTCGCGCTTTAGATAATAACATGGATAGACATAATCACGCTTTAGATAATAACACGGATAAACATAATATATAGTTGTCCTTCACGCTTTAGATAATTACACATAATATATAGTTGTCCTTCAAACTTTAGATAATAACATTCATCGCTAACTTGTAACTTAAAACTTTAGATAATAACATTGATCAACATTGTATAATATATGGAAGAACTTATGATAACTTTAGATATAATGGAACAACTTAACTTAATGTATAGCTCAATTTTTTTGAGAGGAGCTATCTTCAAACTTAATATAACTAGCATTTTAAACTTATAACAAAACTTCTTATTTTGATAATTGATATGATGATGAATGAATTACCCACAACACAACCTCCCCTCCCCACAAAGATCATGATCAATTGTGCTAATTCATCTTCTTGATATATATAAGGCAAATACACTACCTACAATATATACTATTTAGAAAAGTTTAATCACTAATTTAGTTTCTTTCAATTGATTGCGTAATAATGAAATTCACTGATAAAACATAATGTTCCCATAGTTTTTTCTTACAATTTTTTTACGCAAGTAGTTGTAAAATTGTTCGAAATATTGTTCAAAACATCTAAATACATAAAAAACTAAAATTAAGACCAAAAGAAGCGTCTTTTTGAGAAATTCGACGGCCAAACCGCCTACGGCTGTTTGCACCGCGTAGATCTCGAAAAAATACGCGATTTCAAAAAAAAATTTGTCCGAAACGGACGACCGAGTCAAAAGTTATGGCCAGTCAAAGTTTCTACACAAAACAACTACTTTATAATTATTCAACACTTACTTACATACTGTCAGCTCAAGCTCAGCTCAACCGGGGATATTTTGGTTATTTTATCCTTAAGTTTAATAATCTAACCTCACCTCAGATTTTCCTTACCTATCTTCCCGCCTCGCCCATCTCTCTCTAAGGCTCTCACCACCGCCGTGTCTCCGTCTCCGCCGCTCTCACCCCGATCTATCTGTCCGTCTCTCCGGGGCCACTGGTTCGTTATTATGTCATTGCCCCTCCCTCCGTCGTTAATATATATATCCCCCATTTCAGATTTCTTATTTTTACATCAATTAATTACAATTGAAATTGAATTAGGGCTAAACTGAGGAATTGGGATCATCTCAATCTGCAGTCTCGTAATATTACTTATATAAGAGCTCGTATGCAGTGAGCTGACCTAGCTGCTGCGTCTGCTGCTGTGCTATACGATGCTGATTATCCCAAGGTAACATTTTAAAGTACATTGCGGGTAGACTTCTCAACAAGACAAGTGCATCATGGACGATCAAAAGGACTGGTATTTAACAACTGTCTTTCTTTTCATGGTTACTTCTTTTTTATTTAACTGGAATATCATTACAATTCTGCAGTCTTGTAATATACAACTGGACTGGTCTTGTTTGTGTGTTTCTCATCAAGTAGATTGCAATCTGAGTTTTTCCCATTATTCTGAGTGCTCCAAAAATCTTAGTTGTAGACAATATGAGGTCTGTCATGGCTAATTTAACCACATTGATTAAAACATAGTAAATAAATACTACTGAAAGCACTTGTTCATTGTCACAACATGGTCTCAAGTGCCCTTAATCATGTCCCTTACTGCCGATTGAAAGTGCTTTTGTTTGTTTGTTTGTTTGTTTTTTATACTCTTATGCTAATTGTTTGTTTTGGGGAAACTGAAAATGCATTTATATCTCCATAGTACTATTTTGGTGCATACTCGTGGCCATTCCATTCTTCGCTTAAGTTTTAACTTCTTTCTTTACTATGTGCCCAACGAATTCTCTTGCGCCTGGTTAAAACTTACATTATGAGCTGGTATTTTTTTTGGCCTATGTACTTTATCATTTTTTACACACAATCACCATTAAATTAATTTTTTTTTGGGACTAGGGAAACTACATGCTGTATCCTTACAATGCTTGACGGTGCTCAAACCCTGCCAGTAGATGTTGCTTTTTTTTTTTTTTTTTTTTATCGAATGAGATACCACTGTGCTTCAAAATATTCTTATTTTTTTCCATTGCTGCCACTGATAACAAGGCCACATTACTGATTTGAACCCCTCATCTAGAAGTCTGCCACCTCATTCAGCATACACTAGCATCTACGTTTGATGATCGAAGTTAATGAATCATCGTTGTTCATTTCTCGGGGATCGATTTTACACAGCACACTAGCATCTACATTTGATGATAGAAGTCTGCAGTCTCGTAATATAGCACTACAACTCATGGTTACTTCTTTTAAATTTCTACACAGCACACTAGTAGATGCCTCAATCACAATCATTTTCCTTACATTAACTACTCACTCACTTGGTAATTTTCTTATTTTCTTAACAATCCTTTACTTTTTTTTTAACTACTCACTCACTCACTCATGGTTACTTCTTTTAAATTTCTACACAGCACACTAGTACTGCTCATTTTGCCGTTTTTTATTTGCTCTTACTATTACTATTTTGATAGTACTCTATGTTAAGGTTGATGCGGACTTTAAAAGATTAAAGCCTTTTTTGTGTATGCACATATCATCTTTTGCTAAGCCTAGATCAGTAGTTTGCCATGTGTGAATTACTTAATCTGTATATGGGCCTTATTTGCTTTCTTAGTTGCTTTATTCGGAATTCTCTCTCTGATTTTAAATTTCATACCGGTGACAGCTGCCATCTATTTTATGTAGTACTAAATGCTGCCTTTATATCAGGTTTGGTGCATCAATGGCAGTGCAAACAGCGGAGATTGCTATGTAGTTCTATACACCTATCACTATCATGATAAGAAAGAAGATTATTACCTGTGCTGGTGGATTGGAAAGGATAGTATTGAGGTAAACTATTGTCAGTTGAATAAGAGAATCTGATTTGCATGTTTTTCTTCCATTTTGTTAAATTGTGTGCTTTAATCCAACTTAAGCCCAAACTAATAGTGAGGAAGAGTATATATTCATACTAGTGAATAACATTTATATATTTAGACACTACATTTATATATTTAATACGAAAGACCAAATTTAAAACATTATACGAAAATGTTAAAGAAATTAAAAGAGAAAGAAGAAGCAGTTTGACCTTCAAATAGTAAACATGACACCTAAACCAGAATAGAGCCAGTAATTGCTTAATGTAAAGGAAATTTTTGTAATTTTAATTTGTTTTTCCAACTATATGTATTATTATTAGAATGCTGTTTCGGACGGTTTTCCTAGTCTACGACAATGTGTTTGAAATGTTTTTGGTTCTTAAAGTTCTGTTTCTTAAAGAATACTGCTACTACACTATTAATAGCATTCCCAAATTGTATATTTATTTTCATGATATAACGGACAAAGTCATTGATAAACTGGTGAGTGAGTCTCGACTTTAATGGGCAAACTTACACAGGTTGTTATTGCAATTTTAACTTTTAGGCTATTGTTGGTCATTTAAAATGCAAGCCTTCAGCCTTCTTGCTCTTTTAGCAAGATCTAATGCAGGGTAGAGCTCTTTTCAATTTTGATTTGTGTACTGTTTGCCCAATGTTGATTACAAATCTAACTGAGCTGCTTATTACTTAAGAATGTTGCTGATTACCCAATCATTAGTGCCCCCAATCGATAATATTACTTATATAGTTTGAAACTTACATTATGAGCTCGTATCTATCCCGAAGGCTCTCACCACCACCGTGTTGCGGACTTATGCGGCTGGTCTCAGCCCGATCTATCCGCCCGTCTCTCCGGGGCCACTAGTTAGTTATTATCTCATTGCCTCTGGCTGTCCCTCGTTAATATATATATCCCCCATAGTTGATTTCTTATTTTACATCAATTAATTACTGAGGAATTGGGATCATCTCAATCTCAATCTCAATCTCAAGGACTATATATCAACTTTTCCATTATGCAGTCTCGTAATATTACTTATATAGTTGATTTCTTATGCCCCAATACTTTATGTTGTTTAAAACTTATTGGGGAAAGTGAAAATCCTATCTATGAATTAAAACTTACATGATAACAAGCAACTTATGCGGAAGGTAACATTTTAATAGCACTACAATTTTTCATAGTTCTTTTAAATTTATATATTGAAATATTTGTGTATACTTTTCTTTCAGTTGCGGCTTCTTTTAGATTTTAGATTTTTACAGAGCACACTAGTAGATTGCTCACTCACAATCATTTTCCTTACATTAACTACTCACTCACGTTTACCTGGTAATTTTCTTATTTGCTTGACAATCCTTTTGTTATTTTAAATCAATTAATTAAATCCTTTGGGTTGTTAATTACTGCTGATTTGTTTTCCTATTCACAATACTTATGGTTCTTTTATTTCCTATTGTACTGTATCCTTACTTTGTACCATTGCTGCTCGAATTCTATTGCTTGAATTCTATTGCTTGAAATGGATGTCTTAGTACCCATGAGTTGCGAACATATATTGCAACCATTCATCTTCACTACATTGAATCAAATTCTTGCTGCTGTGTCTTTCGTGGTTAGTTCTTTTTAATTTTACTGGACTTGGTTATTCTTCCGCTTGCTGCATTATAGCTGTGATGCTGCAGACATGTTTCTGTATGAAATCGAGTGCGTTGAGGCTTTTGCTTGCTTGCAGATAGATGAAAATGTGATTAAGCTTAGGTGTGATTGCAATATGCATTTGCTTATGCATCTGATGGTGCCTCTCACTAATACAGTACTTTCCATCAGCTCATAAATCAACCATTTGTGTATAAAAATGATTGTCGTATGGTCTCAATCAGTTGTGATGTTATAGACTGAAATGTAGATAGTTTTTGATTGTAGATAGTTTTAAATGTCCTTAAGCTTAGGTGTGATTGCATCTTATGGTTTTAGATTGCATTTTTTTTTGACATATTTACTGTATTTTTGTTGCCGCTGGCAGCTATCCATGTCGTCAATGTCTTAGACTGGACTTGCTTGTTATTCTTTTTAATTATAGCCCAAGTTGCTACTTAAATGTTAAATGTTTGTTTTTCTATGAAATCTGAGTGCTCTGAGCCGCTCTGAGCCTTCCGATTGCAAGATGTTCCTAAGTTTAGGCCTGATTGCAATATTCCTTTGCTTTAGGTGATTCATCTGTCAATATGCATTTGCTAAACCTGATGTTTTCTTCTCTAACTACTAAGTTGGATTTTTCTTTTCTTTTCTCTAATATTGCATAAGTTTTAAATCTTTTCATATGTTTTGCTGTGCCGATATCTAGAGAGTGCGTTGAAATATGAGTTATTAGGGATCCCCCATAGTTCTTTCTGAAAAGAGGCTGGCTCAGCTTTTGAGTTTATCTGCTTCGGGAGTTGCTCAATATAACGGTAACTCATGGATTAGTACGGATACCATGGGGTACCAGGACTATTTGAGTTATCTGTTGGGTCGCACGAGTGGTTTCACTATTTGAGTTATCTGTTGGGTCTGCGGAACAGAGGATCTTGGTTATGTTGGTTTCGGATTGTTTGTTACCCAATAACAACAAAAGTAAGTTGTTGGGAAAGTTGGAATGCACCTTTGCTTTTTGCCTCAAGAATATGGTCAAGTTCAACCTGCCAGCTTTGATGTTGCAACATATGGTTTTCTGCCGTGATCATAACCGGAAAAGCCTACCGTATGGGATGGTGTTGAGCTGGATTCTGGATAGGAAAGGTGTGAGTGTTGATGGCTGTCTATCGAAGGCTGTGGGAAAGTTGGTGTTGGATGCCACCAATCTTCGGAGTTGTAATCTGTTTCAGCTAGATGATGGTGATTACATCACTCTTGAAGAAGTTGCAAGAAAAGCCCCCGAGGAAAGAGCTGAGTTGGCAACAGAGCTTAGGATTCATGCCGGGAAGTTGAGCCTCGCAGTCTAGAGTTTGGGTGGCGATGAAGAAGATGAGGGTGAAGCAGGCCGAGAGGAAGAAGTGGAAGCACCGGAAGCTGCTGAGGCCGAAGAAAGTGATTCTGAAAGTGAGGAAAACCGAAGAAGGAAGGAAGCCCGCACCAAAAGGGAGCATGACTCCATGTCACATGAGGAGCGCATTGTCACCTTGATTCGTCAACAGAACCGCATGATCGAAGAAGGCTTCGCGTACATGAAGACGCAGTTTGTCGCAGTGCACCAAAGGCTAGACCAGATCGAAGCCAGTTCAAGTCGCAGAGGAGAGGATGATGAAGAATCTGAGGAGTCCGAGGAGTCGGAGAGCGAGTCCTTCTAGAGTGGAGCTGAGACTGTCTTGTTCGCTTTTCTTTTGGTTGTTGTTATCTTCCTAGTCGTTTGATGCTTGCTTGGTATGCTTGTCCTTGCTTGTTGTTTTGTTGCTTAAATTAGTTTTGTAGTTGGTGTTTGGAGCTAGTTGCTTAGTTCTTAGTTGTTGTCTAGAAGTTGGTGTTTGTGTTGGGACTAGAGTTCATTATGCTCAATTTATCCGTTTGTTTATTTCTTGCTAATTCTTGTTTTGAACTCTTTTGCCTTGAAATCTTGTGGAATCTTTTGGGGTTTTGAACAAAAGGAATTGTTCTTGACACTCTTTGTCACATTGTTGTTCTTACAGTTCCAACAGTTACCTCCTATTGCCACCCTGTACTTCTGAGTCCAACCTTATTCCGCCTGGGACCATCGTCCCCCACCTACACCGCCAATCATTCACCGCCGAACTCTCAGTACACGAGGGTACCATTAAATATCATAGTCACACACCACCGATCATGTGAGCAAAGCTCAAGTCACAAACCACCAATCTCATTCATAATCACACATAGTCATCATCATCAAGAAGACTAAGGCCCATCAATAGCCCCAATCAAGTATCAACAAAGGGTACAACGATTTGTACAAGATCACACCATAAGAATCAATCAAGAGATCACAACAAAGACATGAGACTATACCCAACAACAAAGGATACAATCCAACATCAAATGATTGACAACACAAGTTGCCAACCCCAATAAGAAGGAACAAACCACACATACTAGCATAACAACATCAAACTAGCATGCTCAACAAGCGGGTAGACCAAAATGGTTTCAACGAACCTTCAAGACTCATATTAGCCCAACGAATCACAAAGTTGGACCCTTAGCACAATTCAAGACACCAAATCCTAACATGGATTCCTAACACATCGTTCTAGACATACAAAACATCAAGAAGACTCACAAAAAGCTCAATAATCCAACAACGGGAGGTCAAAATATCAATACCAAGAAGAAAAGGATCACGGGGAACAAATCCCCACATCAACCACAAGTGTTCCCCGCGGGTAGGGCCACGGGTAAGCCCCCACCCATGGGCTTGCCCGTGGGGTACATTGCCCACGAGTAGCCTGTTCCCCGCGGGTGGGGCGGCGGGTAGGCCACTGCCTGCCGTTCCGCCCGTGGGGTACATCACCTGTACACCAAAATCCCTTTGGGGATTTTTATCCTCAAGGTCAAGTTCAAGTCCAAAACACCCAAAATCTCACACACAACAAAGATATGACTTGAACCCAAGAAATAGCCAAGCAATGACATTCAAGAAACCTAAATACAAGCTCTAAACATGCATCATCACAAGATCATGCATCAAATCTCACAAATCACACCAAGAACATCAAATAGAAGCCAATAATCATCATTTAGGTAAGAAAATAGGTTTTGTATATCATGGGTTACCTCCTTCGCTTAACCATCCAAAAACAACGCCAACATAGGCTCAACTCATAAAGCCATGCTACCGGGAACCTGTGGATTAAACCGGATCTTCACGAATTAAAATTAAATAAGCTCATAAGGGGAATTAAACTCTAGTCCTTCCCTAAATTACCCACAAGTACAACCATCTATGCAAGGTATCCTATTGCTAACTTAATCACAACACTAATTCTATATTAACAATAAGGTACTAAGCAACATACTTACTAGCTAATTAACAAATATCCAACCTTAAACACATGCTAAAGGTACGATTCGAACACATGCCTTCTTTATAACCAACTCACACCCTTAC